CAAATTAACCTAGCCTAACATACATCAAACTCAAAGCATGCCTTCACCAAACCCCTAGCAACAAGAGAACTACTCACAATCCATAACCCTAACTACAATTATACTAATCAACATAGTAACTAAGGAATTAATGAGAAAGATGATAACTTTATCAACTAAACCAACAAAGATAGGAACTTTAAGCATAAAAACAAGAGAATAAGTAGAAGAATACCAATAACTTCATTGAATACTAAGTGGGAGGACAAAACCCATTCAAGTTCCAAAAAGCTTCTTCAAAAATATCCCAAAATAACTAAGGTTTTGGGAAATAGAAAATTACACTAAGATCTATTGAGGATTTTCAATACCCATTGGCTAAAAAACTAGATCTAAGAGTTTTTACCCTCAAAACTTCTATTACAAGCCCTTTTTTTCTCTTCTAAAGTATGCTGAATTTTTAAAATAAAAATTGCTGCCTTTCTCTCTCCTCTTTGCTGTTTTAATCTGATTTCGGGTTTTGGATTGTCGCAGAAAGGCGCGGCCGCGCCTAAAAGTAGCGCGCCTGCTCCAAATATGGGTATAACGGGATTGGGCCAGCTCAGCACGCGCCAGCGCCAAAACGCTAGTGCAATGTCTTCAATCCTTGCTCTAGTTCCTTCCCAATCTGAATCACCGGCAATAATCTGCAATTACAAAATAGGAAGGCAAAGCGTAATACAACGAAGGGGAAGGGGGGTAAAGACTACCTAATCCATATAGAAACACATTACGCAACACATAGGTAGACTACTCAAATTAGGCAAAACATAATAAAAGCACACTAGAATGAACCAAATTACTACTAAAACTACTAGAAAAGACTACCCTAAGAGTGACATAAATGTCACTCATCAAATACCCTAAGAGTAATTTTTGCTTCACTCCAAACTAATCTACCACTGAAAAAATTTCTTAATCTCCTCAAAAATCAACATCATCATTAAAAATCATAGAACGACATATATACACATGCCTGTACTGGTCAATCGCCGCTCTGGCGAAAACCAGTATTCATTATCATCATCAGCAGGAAAAACGGGGGCGGACTCACCGGTATCCAGCAAACCGAGAGAAGCGTTCACATCAAAAACTCATCAACAATATCGGTAAACAGGGGCAAAATCAACCAAAGAAAGCAGTCATAGGCAACTCAGCAGAATAAGCAGCATAAAGGTGTAGGTAAAATAATGAAAGATCAGCAGGCAAGCAAGTGAGAATCCCAGCCAAGTCACTTTCTACCAAGAGTATATCTCCTACTCATCAAAATTAGCATGCAAGAGCAGGGGAGAGAGATATACTCAAGGGACGTAGCCTACTGGCCATGAGGGCCAGGCTCACAAGCTGAGCCAGGCTGATGTGGTGGCACGTCATAAGCGAAGCCACTAGGGGGGCCGAAAAGGCCCCAACCACCGTCAAAGCCTAGCGGTCAACCATAGTGACCCCTGTAAAGATCCTCTTGCCAACTGGGCAAAGGATAAGAGGGAGTGTCCTCAGACTGGGAATATAGAGGAGCGGGGTGATCAGGATGCACGTAGGGGTAAGCAGGGTCTCCTCTAAAGTCACACCCGCCGTACACACGATAATCGTACTGCCCGTCCTCTGAGAAGCTGCGGAGCTCCCTACCGGGCTCGGAAGGACCTTGCCAGTAGGGGTAAGTGGGGAGATTGCCCCCCCCCCCAAGAAGGAACAGGGCCGTGCTGAGGCGGCCAATTAGGGTAGTTCACAGGGGGAGCAATCTCTCCTCTATCCACAACTGAGTCATAGAGGGCCTACTGCTGCAGATGGTGGCCCTGCCTTGACTCATAAATCACTTGCAACTGCCTAACTATATAAGATAGCTAAAATGTACCCGTGGGTTACAGTGCACCCGCCTGCTGCTATTTCTACCCACTACTAAGCCCCTCCTCCAACTCCTCCTGTACCTCATCCTCTCTCTCTATATCGGGCACTCGCCCATTGTCTCTCAGGACTCTCCACACATAATCGGTGTCACGGGTGATGGAGGTAAGGTGGGGTTTGGGAAGAAAGCAGTGGTGTTCCCCTCTTACAAGCCAACTGTAATAGGTAGGGTTAGTGGTCAGAAGGATAAAGTCGGACCTACAAAGCTGTTCTAGGTCAAGGTAAATGTCACCACTACTCCCTATAGGTGTGCAAAGAGGTAGCATATCGGTGTGCCCCAAGTTAATGGCCAACCTAGTGACCATTTCCCCGCAATGTATGTCTCCCGACCTCTTACCCTTAGCGATGGCTACACAAAAGGTCATGAAAAGAAAGCCCAAGTTAAGCCAACGGGGTTGCTCTCTCCTAGCAGCGATCCACAAAATACACACCTCCTCTTTAGATAACTTCCCTAGATCTTGCTTGCTAATAACTGAGTATCCTAATAACTGGTGCAAGATCCTAAGGGCCGGGTGGTACATCTCACTGGCAATGGATTTCCTCGTAGTGAATTCACTTCTACCAGAAACGTGACGCCACCAACTAGTCTCATTATAATATCTAAAGTTTTCATAAAGAGGGCGGTAGATGTCTGCTTTAGGGTGGAAATCTAGAGCTTGGTTGAATTACTCTAAAGTCATCTCATGTGGAGTGTTAAAAAGTTGGAACTTAATCTTATAAACATCGTTATCCAGATCCAAGGTATCTACAGAAAAGGAGGAGAAGAACTCTAAACAGAGCTCTAAATAAGTCATGAAGGAGGAGTTAACAAAAGATCCCATCCTCAAATTCTCAAAAAGAAACCATAGGTCATCATTTATGCCCAATTTCTCCATATCCCCTCCATGGTAGTGCCTTGAAGTTCTGAATTTCCGCTTTTTCATATCATTGTAAACAGATTTATGGCTTTTGTTGATGAATTTTAGGGTAGGAAGAGTGTTTGGAGTGTTGGAATTAGGGTTTTGGGACGATTGTCCCAAATTTGTGGTTTTCCTCTTTTTCCCAATCCTCAAAGAACTCATGACTACTCTATCTTTTTTTCAACACAAGCCAACTCCAGCTAATTCCAACCACAACCTCCACAAACGACAATGTACCTGTTTTACAGCAATAATAATCCAACAACAACCAAATATATCCACAAATCTAACAACAATTTTCAATGATAATCAACAATATCCGGCAATAATCAATAATAAACAAAAAAACTCCACAAATAATTAACAGTATCTCAGTACTAACCAACGGTAATCAAAATCTTTGCTTCAAAATAAATCAAAATATATAAAGAGAACAATGAATTTGAATACCTAACCCTTTTGTGCGAAAATTTGTTGTTTTTATGGACTTGAAAAACCGGATTGAAGGGATTTTGCTGCAATGTTCGTGTCGTTGAACCTTCAGGATGAAATTGTTGTGATGCTCGTGATTTGATGATGGCGCGGTGGTGAGATGGTGAAGGCGCGGCCGCGGTGATGATGATGGTGAAGGAATGACCTAGTAGCTTGTTTGATGATGGTGGAGATGGATTTGAGAGATGGAGAAGTTAGGGTTTTAGAGAGAGAGTGTGTGAGAGGAGAGTTTTTTTAGAGTAAGAGAGGAGATAAGGGGTTTTCATGGTTTAGGGTGTTTTTCTTCTTTTTTTTTTTACGGAATTCAACCGGGCGCGCCCGCTCCCAAAAAAGGAGCCCGCGTTTAATGATCATGCGCCCGCGCAGTTAAGATCGAGGGTTTTGTAAACATTCTTCAAATGTGACGGCGCACCCGCGTTTATAGAGGCGCGACCGCGCCACCTGCAGACGCGTGGTCTCTCCTTAGACGCGTACATACTCCACACCCTTCTGTTTTTTTTCAAGTTTCAGGCACCAGAAATGGCGCGCTCGCTTCTTCAACAGTAGCGCGATCTCTCCTTAGTCGCGCTCAAATCGCGTACCCTTCTGTTTTTTCCTTCAATTTCAGATCCCAGATGAGGCGCACCCTCTCCGTATTTAGCGCGCCCGCGCCATCAGAAGATCGCGGACCGCTCCTTTGTCGCGCACAAACCGCGACCCTCACTGTCTTTTTTCAATTTACAGAACTGGGATTAGACGCGCCCGCGCCAAAATGTGCACGTCCGCTCTTAATTACTTTCGCGGGTCGTTCATTGTTCGCGCACAAACTGCGACCCCTATTACCTTTGGTCCGAATTGGACCTCTAGCTCTCAAAATATTTCAATTTTTCTTCAACTCTTCTCTTTTCTCTAAAACTCATTCGACAACACCTACATCACATTAGATCAAGAAAAGTGTTAGAGAGATTATTTTAAGCGGTTCGAAAGAAAATAGAATAAAAAAGGTTAGAAACCGGGTTGCCTCCTGTAAGCGCTTCTTTAACGTCACTAGCTTGACGTCCTTCACACGAAATCATGGGGACTTGAAAACATCGATGAGTGATATATTTTCGGCTTCTCAATTGGTTGACCCTCGTAGTAAGGCTTGAGACGGTGCCAATTCACTTTGAATGGAGGGTACTTGTCAATGAATATCTCAACTGAGCCATATGGAAAGACTTTGGATACTTGGAATGGACCGCTCCATCTAGACCTTAATTTCCTGGGGAAGAGCTTGAGTCTTGAATTGTAGAGTAGGATCTTTTGCCCTTCCATAAACTCCTTCTTGGAAATTTGAGCGTCATGCCATGCCTTGGTTCTTGATTTGTAGAGGCTTGCACTATCATAGGCATTCATTCGGAGCTCTTCTAGCTCATGAAGATCTAGCATCCTTTGTTCACCCGCAGCATGGAGATCAAAATTGATTTGCTTAATGGCCCAATTTGCTTTATGCTCCATTTCAACCGGGAGATGGCAATTCTTCCCTTACACAAGCTTATAGGGAGTTGTCCCAATTGGAGTCTTAAAGGCAGTCCTGTAAGTCCGTAATGAGTCAATGAGCTTACTAGACTAATCCTTCCTTGTTCTAGCAACGGTCTTCTCCAAGATGACTTTCAACTCCCTATTTGTGACCTCCGCTTGACCACTTGTTTGGGGGTGGTAAGCAAGGCCTTACTTGTGCGATACACCATACTTTGAAAGAAGCTTGTTGAATGTATGGTGCTTGAAGTGTGAACCTCCATCACTTATGATTGCCTTAGGAACACCGAATCTTGGGAAGATGACTTTCTTGAACAAATTGACAAACACCTTTGAGTCATTGGTGGGAGATGCCATGACTTCCGCCCATTTGGAAACATAGTCAACGGCAACAAGAATGTGTCGGTTCCCTTGAGATGAGATGAAAGGGCCCATGAAGTCAATTGCCCAAACATCAAAGATTTCGAGCTCAAGGATCGGATTGTGAGGCATCTCGTCACGCCTTGAGATGTTTCCCGTCCTTTGGCACCTATCACATGTCTTCACAAAGGACCAAGCGTCCTTGAACAAAGTCGGCCAAAAGAGCATCGATTGTAAGACTTTAGGGGCGGTCTTTTGGGCACTCATGTATCCACCACAAGGGGATGAGTGGCACATTGAGAGCACACTTTGGAATTCTTCATCGGGAACACACCTCCTCAAAATCCCATCCACCCCTCTTTTCAACAACGTTGGATCATCCCATATGTATTTCTTGGCTTCATACTTAAGCCTTCGTTGTTGTTGAGAAGTGAAAGTTGGTGGTATATCACTACATGCAAGGTAATTGAAGATGTCGCAAAACCAAAGGGTTTCCTTGGCATCAAGAGCATATAGCACATCATCCCTTAAAGCATCTTCAATTGGGAGGTCGTCTTCAATCATTCTTGTGCTTCCCAATCTTTAAAGATGATCGGCTACCACATTCTCGGCTCCCTTCTTATCTCTTAATTCCAAATCGAAGTCTTGAAGGAGCAAAACCCATCTCAACAACCTTAGCTTTGCCTCCTTCTTGCTCATCAAGTACTTAAGAGCCTAATGATCGGTGTACACTATTGTCCTAGACCCAATGAGATAGGGCCTAAACTTCTCAAAAGCATGAACAACCGCTAGGAACTCCTTCTCGGTTGTGGTGTAGCTCCTTTGCGCATCATTGAGAGTCTTGGACAAATAGGAAATCACATGTAGCCTACCCTCTTTTCGTTGCCCTAGAACCGACCCGATGGCCTCATCACTTGCATCACACATTAATTCGAACGGTAGTGACCAATCGGGTCCTTGGACAATCGGAGCGGAACACAAGGCTTCTTTAAACCTAAGAAAAGCACTCAAATAAGATTCATCAAATATAAAATCTTTATCTTGTTGTAGAAGAGATATGAGGGGCTTAGCAATCAAAGAAAAGTCCTTGATGAAGCGGCGATAAAAGCCGGCATGACCAAGGAAAGACCTCACTTCTCTCACATGTGTGGGAGGAGGAAGCTTCTTAATCACATCAACTTTTTCACCATCAACTTTGATGCCCGATTGGGAGACCTTATGGCCAAGCACAATACCATTCTCCACCATGAAGTGGCATTTCTCCCAATTGAGCACCAAGTTAGCACTCTCACATCTTTCTTGACAACGAGATAAATTTAAGAGGCACAGCTCATATGTACCTCTGCCCACAGAAAAATCATCCATAAAAACCTCCATCTCTTCCTCAATCATGTCACTAAAAATTGACATCATGCATCTTTGGAAGGTAGCCGGAGCGTTACAAAGACCAAATGGCATCCTACGGTAGGCAAAGGTACCGTAGGGGCAAGTGAAAGTGGTCTTTTCTTGATCCTTTGGGTCTATTGGGATTTGGAAGAATCCCGAATAACCATTAAGAAAGCAATAGAATGCATGCTTTGTAAGCCGCTCAAGCATTTGATCGATAAACGGAAATGGAAAATGGTCTTTGGAAGTATTAGCATTCAATTGGCGATATTCAATACACATACGCCAACCCGTCACAAGGCGGATTGGGACCAATTGTTGCTTGTCATTGACCATTACCGTCATCCCTCCCTTTTTGGGCACTACTTGAACCGGGGACACCCAATCACTATGAGCGATTGGATAAATGATCCCCTCTTCAAGCAACTTAGAAACTTCCTTCCTTACTACCTCTTGCATGGAAGGATTAAGTTTCCTTTGCCTTTTCCTACACGGCTTAGCACCCTCCTCCAAATCAATTTTATGCATGCATAGAGAGGGGCTTGTACCCTTGAGGTCCTCAAGGGTATAACCCAAAACCATTCTATGCTTTTTCAAAACATTGAGCAATAGGGAGGTTTGCTCATCCGTGAGGCTTGCATTGACAATGACCGGGAAAGATTCATTTGCATCTAGGAAAGCATACCTCAAACTCGAAGGTAGAGGTTTCAAGTCCACCTTCGGTGCTCCCTTACCATTGGAGACCTCTTCCTCTTCCGCTTGGAAGACTTCATAAGTTTGGAGTATCTCTTGGTCGGTGGTTGCTTCCACTTTGTCATCAAGCATCTCCTCATATACTTGCATCTCCTCCTTTTGATCACCTATCTCATTCTCATTCAACAAAACATTCTCAAGTGGATTTTTAGAGGCATGCACATGAGGGTATCGAAATTAATTCATCAAATTTTCAAAAGTATCTACCCTAAAGCATTCATTACTTGCGGAAGGTTGTTTCATGACATTGTTCAAATCAAATTCAATAGAGTCATTATCAACCTTCAAAGTCATTTTACCTTCTTTAACATTAATGATGCTTTAGAGGTATCTAGAAATGGTCTACCCAAAATTATAGGAATCTTCTCATCCTCATCCATCTCTAGAACATAAAATTCCACCGGAAATGTGAACTTACCAACTCTAAGGGGAATGTCCTCAACTTTCCCTATGGGCAATTTAGTGGACCTATCCGCTAGTTGGAGGGTGATGTTGGTAAGTGAAAGGCTTCCTACATTGAGCTTTTGGTAGACCGAGAAGGGCATAAGACTTACACTAGCGCTTAGATCGCACAACGCCTTTCCTAAGCGAATCTCATTAATGGAACAAGGAATGGAAAAACTTCCGGGATCTTGCAATTTTGTTGGAAGCTTGCTAGAGAGAATGGCACTACAATTTGCGGTCAAGTTTACGGTTTCAACTTCTCTCTTCCCATTAAATAGGTCTTTTAGGAACTTAGAGTAGTGGGGCATCTCCTTCATGGCATCCACAAAAGGTATCGAAACATGCAAACCTTTGACTACTTCTAAGAACTTTCAAAATTGGGCATAAAGCCTAGACCTAGAAAACCTTTAGGGATATGGCAATTTCTCATTCCTAGGTTGTCGATTTAGGGGAAAAAGTGTTTGATCTTTGTCACTCTCTTTTGTTGGCTCCTTCTCTTTTTGCTTCTCACCCCTCTCATTTTATTTTTCTAGAACCTCACTCTCTTTAGGTGGCTCATCCTCATCTTCTAGTTCTATCCTCACATTGGAACTCTTCTCATCATTTGACGCACTCTCAAGGACTTTTCCGCTCCTAGTAGTGATAGCATACATAGGTTTGGGGCTGACACCTTGACTAGGAAAAGAGGAAGAGGAAGAAGGGGAGGATGAAGAACTAGGTTGGGCTATTTGCGAGATTTGGGTCTCTAGCATTTTCATATGCGCCTTGATTTGCTTCTTTTCCTTCCCTTGGCTTTTGTCAAAGCTCTCTTGATTCTTGATGAATGCTTGAAGCACGCCCATCATAGAATCCGGAGCGGCTTCCATTTGAGGAGGTAAGTTGGAATTTTGGGCTTACGGTCTCACTTGCTCAAAACCGGGAGGTCTATTTTGAGGACTTCCATTTCCAAAACCCTGATTGGAATTAAAACTTTGCTGGTTATTGGAATAGTGTTGTTTGTTTTGACTCCAATTGGGCCTTTGGTTTGAGTAACTTCTTCCATTGTAATTGGAAGAGTTTTCCCTACCTTGGCCTTGGTTATCATAACCACCACCACTTTGATTCCATTGATTTTGATTCCAACCTTGGTTTTGATTCCAACCACGGTTTTGGTTTTGATTCCAATTTGGCCGCATTCCAACATTTCCCTCACGGGGCACAAAATTCATGGCATTAATATCTTCAACATTATCATCATTTTCATGGGGAGGGGGGCCTTCACTTATGGACATACATTGTTGAGAATTATGATCATAGTTTCCACATATATCACAAAACATACAACCGAGAGGCGTAGCATTGTAATTAGAAGGAGAAGAAGTAGAGGGGCTCATACCATGGCTTCCCTTGGTAGTAAGGGAGGAACTTTGAGAATTTGTCTTCATAAACTCTTCCATTTGCTTAGCCATTTTGGCCATTTGGTTCGAAAGGTTGGTGATTGCATTTTTTTGCTCTATGGATTGCACCGTACCTTTGCTAGAAGTGGCTTCCCTCTCACCTTCGTACCAATCCTCATAATTGCGCACAACATCTTCTATGATACTCTCCACTTCATCTTCCCTTTTGTTCATGATTGGGCCTCCGGCTCCGGCATCAAAGCTAGTCTTGCTTTGAGGGGAAAGTCCTCCATAGAATGTTTGGAGAACTTGACAATTAGGAATCCCATGGTGTGGGTATTGCCTTTGTAACTCTTTGAATCTCTCCCATGCCTCACAAAGAGACTCTCCACCTCTTTGGAGAAAACTTTGAATCTTTGAGCGAGCCTCGGCGGTTTTCTTGTGATTGTAAAACCTTCCTAGGAACGCCGTAGTTACCTCATTCCAAGTTGTGAGGGAACCGGGGGGAACATCCTTGTTCAACCAATGTTTTGCCGCTCCCATGAGTGAGAACGGGAACATCTTCAATCTTATGTACTCTTGGGAGACTCCGTTGATCTTGATAGTGTCACAATACTTGAGAAACTCTTTGAGATGCTCATGGGGATTCTCAAATTTCCCACCGGTAAATTGTCTCTTCTCTATGATTGAAATGAAATTAGGCTTTATCTCGAAATTGTTTGCTTGAGTGGTGGGGGCTAAGATCCCACTTTGATAGGCATATGGTTCGGGCGCTCCAAGTTGCTTTAGTGACCTTTGATCACCCATGATTCCTTGATCACCCATGCTTTGTTGATTATGGTTATTGGAAAATGGGTTGGCAATTGAGCCTGTGGATGGTTCACCCTCCTCACTTGAAGTGGGTGAAGATGGGGTAGGGGAACTTCTCACTTCCTCTTGAAGTGGGTCTTCACCTCTCTCCCTTGCTTGTCTCCTCAATTGGGCCAAAGTACGCTCTAGCTCGAGGTCTATGGACACCAAAGGCTTAGAACAATTATGCCTCCTGTGCATATACAAAGCTAAGCAGAAAGTGAGCACTGACAAGATACAGAAAAACAAAAGAACGGAAAAGAACTAGTCTCAACAAGAAAATAAACACACAATGGAACCGTTTCCCCGGTAACGGCGCCAATTTAACAGGCGATATTTTAGGTCGTTACTAAGATACCTCTATCAAATGATATTTGTAGTCCTAAACATGCAACTAAACGAGTATAGAGGCAAGTCAAGGGTCGAACACAGGGAAACGATTAAGCACCACTATTTATCTCCTAATGTCAATCTAGTTCGGTCAAGAAATATGGTGGGTAAAGTAATGACCAAAGGGGATAGAATAACAATTAAAACAAGCATTAGGGGGAAGGATCAAACATGCTATGAATTCAACGAAGTTAGGCATCGGAAAATAGGTTTACATGTAACCCAAGCAACTCATACAAGGCAATATCAAGAATACTCTCTAATCACCTATCGGGATTAAGAGCTATCCTAGCTAGCATACACTTACACTATCGTCATAAGGTAAACAAACTAAGGTCATGAAATAATCAATAAACTAATGACTAT